AGTATTATTTTTGTAGTGGTGCAATAAAGAAATAAAAATTGTTTTGAAAATTTCCTAAGACATATGCACTTCAATTTTTTTTTGCAATAAACTCTATGACATAAGGGGGTTTCGGCACGGGGTCATATCTAATATTGTCGCATGGAGTGTGTGAGCCTCGAGGTGCGAGCCTAACAAAGGACGCTGTTTTATGGCAGCGCCGTGGGAATTGACCGACAACCTTCGCACATATGATAGACGCCGTCAGCTGATGTTTCCTTTTGTAGGGTTGTCTACAAACTGTTACTAAATATTTATATTGTAAAGTTGCAAGTGCAGATAAAACGAATTTAAAAAATCTGTAACGAGTAAACACAGGGGTGGGGGAAGGGATTGTTGGTAGTGGAGATTAAGGGCCCTATTGCTAGCAATATATCCAACCAGGTGGACCTCCACGTTGTCTCCCCTGGAAACTATCGTGCTGAATTACAGGTCTATAGATTACGATGGGCTACCTAATCTGACTTTTCATTCTCCCCTATTATCCCTCACTGGTAATCTTACGATGGGCTAATTACCCTGACCTTATCCTCTCCTATTATCCCTCACTGGTGCTCCGTCGGAGTATACCGTCAGCGCGTGCCGGATAAAAATACCATTGTTATCCATTAATAAAAAAAAAAAAGTAAAAAAACAAATTGTTACTGTTCTAAATTGTCGAAGACTGGGTAATATACCCTAGATGTGGCATCAGGTTAATATTGACAGATTACTATAGTTATTTCGGTAGTTTCACATTCACAAATAGTGTACCAAATTTTTATTTTTTAATTTTCCTTACATACATTGTACGACTGTTTTAATGGCCAATGATTCGAACTCGTGTCTTACTTCTGATTGAAAAAAAAAAAAAAAACAATATTTAATCTGTTTATTTGTTGTAGACCTTCGTATTTTTTTTCTCTTATTTAAATATTAATTACCCTCTGAGAGACAACGCACTGTTTACGACAAGAATTATTTATGACTAAGTTCGTAGTAATTGAGAGAAGTGTGGACTGAAAGACGATGTAGTGACAAAAATCGAAAAAGGAATGTTGCGTTGGTTTGGTCATTTGGAGGGGACGGATGAAAGAAGAATTACGAAAGAGATTTATGGAGCAAGAATGAATGGAGATGTCGATAGGGGCCGCCTTAGACGGACGTATGTTGACCAAATAGGCGACGTGCTGAAGAAGGGCCAAATTAAAAGTACCCGTAACCGGCGAGCGTGTATGAAAAGATTGATGAATGTGGAAGAAGCGAAAGAGGTTTGTTTGAATCGAAGCATTTGGCGTACCATTGTTTCTGCCTACCCTAATGGGAGAGAGGTGTAACAGATATGTATATGTATGTATGTATTCGTAGTAAAACGTTTCAATGTTCTATTTCTTTTTGCATTCACCACTATCATCATATGTCACTGCTGAATTCCCCTCCTCTATAAAGGTTGGTTTTGCCAGTAGTTGCCATGCTTGGGTTGGCAACTGCAGTTATACTTTGGTGACATTTTAAGAGTGACGTTGCTGTCCATCCCTCAACAATTAAGTTCTTTTAGTCGCTTCATACGACACTCATGGGAAAAGAAGGGGGTGGCCCATTCTATGCCAGAACCACACGGTATATTCTTTATGCATTAATAAATAGTTATAGGTCTTTGTTATGGGTATTTTTTTATAGTTGATAATAGAATGGTAACCCCGTTTGCGCTATCGGTGTACGTTGGCGGGGCGTCGTCAGTGAGGGATGATAGGTGAGCATAATGCTTTATGCGGGTCAGTTGGCGCATTGTGATGGATTTATTATTATTATTTTTTTATACAACTTAGAATGGCAAACAAGCTGACGGCCCACCTGATGGAAAGTGGTAACCGTCGCCTATAGACATGAGCAGTACCAATATAAATTAACCACTATGGTTTCCAGGGGAAACCACTTGGAGGTCGACCTGATATATTAGGGTATATTGCTAGCAATGGGGCTATAAAAACTCATTACTAACAATCCCTCTCCCATATGACTAGGAAGTTATATATATATATACATATATATTTTTGACAACCCTTAAATTGTATAGTGCACTGTGACGAAGACACAAAAATAAGTTAGTCATCGGTAGTAGATCTGCCTCTGTGAATATGTAAAGACCGTAAAAACAATACGGACACAAGAAAATCCGTGTTATTAAATTAGCACATACATTTATTTATAAAGCTACAATTATCTGTGGGTACGGAATTATTGTATTGCTATTTAAGCGGTGGAAAATATTTTTTACTTGCTGTTTTTAATTTTTTTTAGGAAAGTTTTTTGTCTCATACAGGATAATTAATATTAAAATTAGATAAAAAAAAAATGCTTTATAAGAGCTATTTATATGATATTCAGAAGACAAAGGGAATGAGGATTTTTTTTTAAATATTTTCGACAGAAAACATTGACTCTAGTAATTTCTCTGGTGTCGTGGGTGCTTATGCGGTAGTCACTTACCATCAGGTGTGCTGAAAGCTTGTTTCCCCCTATGTTATAAAAAAAATATGTTTTCTCCCTTTCTCCTTGGATCCCAGTTTGATTTTATTTAAGATTAAATTTTGGACATACAGGGTACAGAGGAATAACACTTGAGTCCTCAGGAATGGCAACGCAACGGGGGTATCATGGGCAAAACAGTATACTCTGTTATGTCCATGGTACTGCTCATGTCTATAGGCGACGGTTACCACTTTCCATCAGGTGGGCCGTCACCTTGTTTGCCATTCTAAGTTGTATAAAAAAAACACATTATTTATTCTATTCTTTAGTCCACTTAAGATTAAATTTATATATGTTTGCATTTCTTTGGGTGATTTTACTTTTTTTAGACAAAAATTTAAATCGATTTTCCTGACATTGATTTCCCCAGGATCCAGGACCGGATTATCCATTAGGCAATCTAGGCAACTGCCTAGGGGTACGCATACTGAGAAAAATACTTTTTTGAGGAACTTTTTTTAAACTAAAATTATATTTGAAGATTTGTATCTAACACAATGAAAATATTATTATTGTTAATATTACATCATTATTTTGCAATATATTTCGTAATGCGTTTCAAGTTACTATATGTAGGTACCATTATAGGAGTCTTTTCGCGAGCTAGACGTGCACTGCCTCTAGGTTCCTAGATACAGTTCAATTCAATTTATTTATTGCATTCTACAATATTATTATAAAAGATGTTAATAATTAATAAAGGTATGTTGTAGACCCTGTTGGGCACAGCAATTAGAAGCAGTTAATCCTGTCCTGCCAATATCGGTACCCAACTTGAGGGATCGTATAATATTATGTGTAGAAAAACAAAAAGCGGATGTTATTTGTTGACTGTATATCACTTATTTTTTTAGTTATTTCGACATAATTTTTTCTTTAATTCAACCGATTTAAAAAAGAAGAATTCAATTCGGTTGTGTTTTCTTTATGTCAGGTGATGTTTGTAACACATTGGATGATATTCAACATATGATATCTCATGGTATGATATGATATGATACAAAACAGAAAGTGAAGCTTCGATACAGAAATATAGTTTAAATAGATAAGATATTGGATTATTTTTAAACATACTCTTAAATCCATATTCCGAAATGGCAAAATCTTTAATCTTTAATTTTTTTTTTAGTACGTTTGTTCCGTTGTGGAACAGGCTAAGGTCGGAGACCATGCTGCCTAGTTTTCAATATGATAATTTGTCTGGAATCGTATTTTTGTATCGATAATTCCTTCTTAGATTAATTAATTTAGTGTGTAAAAAAAAGATAAGGTTAGGGATGGGACTGACACAGGATAAAATCTTCTAAATAAAAATAAAAAATAAATTGTTAGTGGATTTAACGTATCCAATAAAATATACAGATTAAAAAATATAACTTTTATTGGTATCTACATTATAATTCTTATACATCAGTTATCTCTTTAAATATATTACATGACAATGACATATGTTAATTAAATGTGTTATTAAACATGACTCCAACCTATACGGTCTTTGGATAAATCCATTAAGTGCATATCAAAATAAATTCATTTTAAGTACAATTACTATAATTTTACAACTATAATAGCACCTTTTAATAGAATTTAAGGAGGACAGTCATTCGAAGTAAGGCACGCAATTCATTCGTTTATCGTAATGTAGAATTAAAAAAAAATTGTTGTTGGAAATAACAATACTATTTAGAACATAATACGAATTCCATAGACAACAAAATAACTCGATTTATCATCTACATTTGTAAGCTTTAATAGATATTGAAAATAATCTAACTGTATCTATTGTTTACAGAATTTAAACTTGGAATAGTGATTTTTTTAGATATATGTATGCTATTTCTTGCGGTATTTTTGAAATTATTAAAATCTTTACACATTGGCGACTGATCATAATTGTTACTAAGAGGTTTATTTTTAGTTGCGGCAACCAGTAGACAGTGCGTAAAAACTTTAACGCTTACTAAATACACATATTTTTATTATTTTTAATTTTAACCGCCTCATAATAGTTACCATAGACAAAGAATTTTTTTTTTTTGACAGATCAGTAATGGTAGATAGAATTCCAGACAAATTATCTTTTTGAAGACTAGGCAGCATGGTCTCCGACCTTAGCCTGTTCCAAACGGAACAAACGTACAAAAAAAAAAAATGGTAGATAGAATTAAAACATTTATAAACAATTGATATATTTACTTTACTTGATATTATATAAATACTTGAATACCACATGAAAATATTAATGTTGATGACGACAAATATATTGGAATGTTCTCGAAAGATACTCTTAAATAATTTGAGTAATATCTTATATTAAAAAATTCAAAATTTAACACTATAATATTTATGTGACCAAAATGAAAATAGAAGTAAAATATATTTCACTATCACGTTATTCGAACGCGACAATTTGAGCCCTAACAATCCTATTCTCATTTTAGTCAAATCTTAATTACAAAAAAACGCAAAGCATCTCAGATCTATAAGGGACGGATTATTTGAGGTAAATTTACTCAATCGATATCATTAAATATGCTGGTTGACGTTGTTTTAATTCGCAAAGGCACCTTCACGTGTTTGGATGTTGTAGTCTGAAACAAAAAGACGTAAAATATAACTAAATAGAACGAGGCAATAATATGATTTCTATAAAGTTAAATTTAGTTATCGATCGATCAAAAGATAATAAAATAAATAAAATTATATTTGTATAGAAAATTATATTAAAAATAAAAAATTACGAATCAAATTTAATCATGAATTAAAATATTGTTAGCTGTCGTACGATAGGAAATTACATTTAGATTGGACATAAATTGTAATTTGGTTGTATTTTTTTATGTCTGTTACCCCAACTACGTTAGTTGTAAACCGATTTGGAATTTGAAATATTTTTATCTTAAAAGTTATCTTTACAGATTGGTCCCATACAAATTTTAACAAAATTGATTCAGTATTTCAGTTTTTAAATCAAAATTTTAAATGTTTGGTGACATTTGAAGTATGTTTTTTTTTTTTTTTGTGGAGTACAATTTAACTACGGCGGAATGTTTTCAACCAAACTATACGCTAATTTCTAATCAACATTGACGATGTTACCAAAAGTGGCGATAATTTCTTACATTTTTTTTTATTTCAACAAAACCGGCCAGGACTAGAACTAATTTTTTTTTATTATCAATAAAAATACAAAGTTACAGAAATTACAATATTAATATTATATTATTAATTCAGTTTGCAAGATAAAATTTCGACTTAAACCAACAAATAAGCATTGCAAATAGAATATGACTAGAACGTAACTGACCAGTAGTCGGCGGTGGGCGAGTGCGCGTGGTCGCGGTGGTCGCGGTGGTCGCGGTGGTCGCGGTGGTCGTCGCGGTGGTGGTGGTGGTCGCGCTGCAGCGCCACGTACTGGCGCACGAGCCGCGCCACCTCGTGCGCCTGCTCGGCCTGCAGCCGCGTCACGCGCTGCTGCAGCAGCGACCCGCACTTCACGTCCAGGAACAGCGTGCCGTCCTCCGACCGCACCTGTCGAGCAACCGTGGAACAATTAGTTACGGAAACTAGTAACTCTATTTCTAGCAATATCAGGTTGATATCTACACGATCTCTCTGAAAACCATTGTGATTTCTTGTTAATGAGTTCGTCATGACGGGTTTTATCTATAGAACATGGTCTAGATGGCGCTGTGGCGCCTCAAACGCTGCAGCAATATGCTAAGCACTGATCTATTTAACATTTGTACTTAATATTATTATCTGTTGTTAATTTTTATTTTAGTTTTAATTATATTGTTATATATACTTGGTTTTTTCATTTATACTGCTGTGCGAGTCACATGATTCTTTCTTAAATTCTTCATAATAAGTTCTTTTTTTCCTTTTTTAGAAACTTATAAACGAAGATCAGTATTGATCTACTTTCATTCTTACCTATCATCTCACACGAATACCCTGTCAATGTATACCACATAGCGTAAACAGAGTAGTAACCCTACCTCCGCTATCGGTATACGCTGGCGGGGCACCAGTGAGGGATGATAGGCGACGATGAAACATGTCAGGTAGCTCATCGTAAAATATTTAACAAGAAATAATCACGACAGTTTCCAAAGGGAATCGCGTGAAGGTCGACCTGATAGGGTACATTGTTAGCAATGAGGTTTCTATTTACATTCCATATTCAATTCAATTCGATCATTTATTAGATTTTCATGTTGTAATAATATAGATTTTAAGCATTAGAGGCACATCAATATGGATCCTGGAAGGGCATCATGAGTGAAACGGTAGCAGTGATCATGTCTGTAGGCGACAGTAACTACTTTCCATCAGGTGGCCTATCAGTTTGTTTGCCATTGTAAGTTTTTTTTTATACAACTTAGAATGGCAAACAAGCTGACGGCCCACCTGACGGAAAGTGGTAACCGTCGCCTATAGACATGAGCAGTACCATGGACACAACTGAGTACACCGTTTCGCCCCCAATGCGTTGCCATTTCTGAGGACTCAGGTGTTATTTCTCTGTACCCAGTAAATTCACGCCATATCCCATCCTTCAAACCGAAACACAGCCGTGCAAACACAACTGCATTACGGTTGAAACACGAATGGGACAGAGGTACTCAAGCAAATGACTTGGGTAAATTAATATTGCGTGAATAAGAAGATGAATTTGGCAACGCATGGGGAGTTAAGGGGCGAAACAGTACACTCTGTTATGTCCATGGTACTGCTCATGTGTATAGGTGACGGCTACCACTTTCCATCAGGTAGGCCGTCAGCTTGTTTGCTATTCTAAGTTGTATAAAAAAAAAATGTGAATGCGGGCCGACCTTCCTGGTGGAGATGAGCTCGCTGTAGGGCCAGTGCGTGTCGGTCTCGTGCGTGGCGGGGTGCAGCAGGTGCACGCCGCGCCGGTTCAGCGCCAGCACGTGTTCGCGCCACTCGCCCGCGCTGCCGCCCGTCACGCGCCGCACCGCGAAGAACGACGAGCCGAACAGCGGCCACCGGGACAACACCTGGCGCAGTCAACGGTGGCCTTGTCATATTGTTATCATCATATTGGCCGTTAACTGTATACTACTGAAAATAGATCTTTTTTTTTTAATTCTTCCTTATTTAGGACTCTTGATTACGATCCCTTTTATTGGAGAAATGTTACTACTCCGTACATGACTTCTGTACTATTGATTGATGTAAATAATTAAAATTGAATTTATATATATATATATATATATATATATATATATATATATATATATATATATATATATAAAATATTGCGATGAAATTGACACTGTTTATTGTAAAATTTATTTATTGTTATTTTTTAAATTTCTAGACAATTCACATCTCCCCTCTTAAGTTATTGTTATTGGATGGTTGAAATATTCAGGTTAATGTAATGATTTTTGTATGTTTATCCCTTATTTCAGACACAATGTACATTGTTTTTTAAATAAATGACTAATGACTAATGAATGTAAAGTTGCCCGTTTAAAATATTTTTTAATTTATCCAAATCCTGTAAGTTTAATCAGATAATGTGGATGTTTAGTGTATTATGTAGTGTCCTGTCTATTAGTATAAACTGCCTAGCAACTATTTCAACGGACAAAAAAAAAAAGACGAATTTACAAAACAGACGGACCTGCAGTAATGAGGAAGTACATAAAGAAGAAGTAGATAATGCCACTAATAATGCCATAGTAGTAGCGTAGGTTCTGGTAGGTTACCTGCAGCACTTTGGCCTTGGCAGCAGCAGGCGCGAGCTGGCTGGCGGCCGGCCACTCGGCGGCCACCCACGAGGCCCAGCGTTGCGGCCGCGGCTCGCGCAGCGCTAGCAGCGGCTTCGGCAGCAGGAACTTCAGGTCGCGCGGATGCGGTGCGTCTGGCAGTGCGGCCGCGCGGTGCAGCAGCGCCGCCACCAACGCCGCGTCACGCAGCACGCCTGGCGCTGGGGCTGCACCGCCTGGTAGTACGACCACCAGGCCCTCTAGGTAATCAGGCGCCACCTGTCACCAGAAACGGGTAATATAAGAATGAAATTATATATTGTAAATCCCTGTTGTAACTCCTAAGGAGTAACGTATGTGGTGTGGACCTAGCTATAAGAAACACATGGTAAAACAGGTTTTAGGCATATAATGAAAATAGGTAGTTGACAATACTTCCATGTGAGTGATGTATCTGGTTGAACAAGACCTGGGTACATCATGTACCTGGGTAAACAAGTCCCAGGTGTAGGAAGCACCTGGTTGCAGAGGATGTTGGCGCGGTGCATACCTGGTTGAAGAGGACTTCGGTGTAGAGCGGCGGCGCGTCGGTCCGCAGCGGGTGGTGCCACACGGAGCGGCAGAAGATGAGGTAGAAGGGGTGGTGCGCGCGCTGCAGCTCGGTGGTCACGTCCAGCACGTACTCGTCGCCCGCCAGCGGCATCGTCAGCGCGTCGCCCGCCACGATGCAGTACAGCGAGAACTCCGCGCGCTCGCCCTCGCTCGACACGCCGATCTGTTATATTTAAAGGTTTTTAATGGGTGATGAATGGGGGGAAAGGGATGGTTAGTAATGGAGACTGAGAATCCCATTGCTAGCAATATACCCGACCAGGTCTACCTCCTCGCGGTTCTCCCTGGAAACTATCATGGTTAATTCCTGATGAATTCGTCATGATAGGCTAACTGGCCTGTTTTCATTCTCATCTATCATCCTTCACTGGTGCTCCGCCAGCGCATCCCGTTAGTGCAGGCGGGGTTACCATACTATTTGCACCCATCAAAAAAATCGGTGATAAATAATAGTATGGTAACCCCGTCTGCGCTAACGGTATATACCGGGGAGAAAGGGATTGTCAAATAATCCCATTACTAGCAATATACCCTGTCAGGTCGATGAATTACGAAATCGAAGAAATATGACAGTGGAAAGCAAAAGGCGAGTTTAACTAACTTTCGTACATTTTAATTATTAATTACAATTAAGTCATGCCGATAGATATTACTAGTAATTATGCTATTATAATGTACTAACGAGGTCGCAGAGTTCGTTGACAATATCTTGGACGACGGTGGCGCAACGCGTGTTGACTACACGCTCCGCGCCGCCTGGCAGCCGGTACAGCTGCCGCCGGGCGGACCGGCCCGCCGACACCGCCGTCACCTGGGTATGTTAATCATAATATTTATAAATATTCGATTTTTTAATTTTTTTTTTCACAATTCACTGCAGAACATAAGCCTAAGTATGAGGAACATAAAGGGGTTTTTGCTTTAATAGCTTTACTTGGCAGGCGGGTTGGGGAGAGAGACGCTGCTACCCATCCCCCGATCTTAATGGTCGCATTAGTCGTCTCCTACGACGCTCTTGGGAATAGAAGGGGTGGCCCATTCTATATCGGGCCGCACGGCAAATTATCATAGTTTACCTGAATGATCGCATTTATTTCCAACTCTTAATAAAACATGGGCAGCTTCCGTGAAACTACGCCACATCTTTTCTTCCAAATTACCTCAAAGTTTGAAGACGAAGGTCTTTAACCTGTACGTGTTGCCAGTGATGAGTTACGGAACCGAAACATGGTCCTATATGATTGCTCCTCAAATTACTCTGCGGGCTATGGAGAGGGCTATGTTTGCAGTCTCTTTGCGTGATAGAATCCGAAAGCAAGATAATAACAGCCCGAAGGATAAACAAACTGAAGTCGCAATGGGCTGGCCACATAGCTCGAAATACCGACAACCGATGGGGAAGAAAGGTTCTTGAGTAGTGACCCCTTACGGGCAAAAGTAGTGTAGGACGACCCCTCCCCATTAGATAGAGTGACGACATTACAGGGAGTCAGTGGATGCAGGTGGCTCAGGACCGTTTCTTATGCTCAGTCTAGGGAGAGCTCTATGTCCAATTGTCTTGATTTAAAAGCTAAATTATTAAACCGATTTTGTTAAAAACTCAATCTGTAGAGGCCAATCTGTAAATGTATTTTTTCAGATAAAAAAAAAAGAATTATCCAAGTTATAAGAAGGAGGTAACGGATTTATGAGGTAACAAACATTAAAAAAAAACGAGCAACCGAATTGAAAACCTTTTCGAAATCGGTTGAAAGATAGGAGAGAATGTTCCCACCTCTTCGACGCTGGGCACGTTCTTCCGTCCGCCGCAACGCAACGTCTTGCGTAAGTTGGCGAGGCACACCGCAGCGGTGCCCTGGCACGGCCGCCGCCGGTCCGCGGCCGCCGCTGACAGGTACTCCACGAGGAATGGCCTGAAATATATAATAAAAAAAAATATATAACATACATATGTTGCATAATTACAATTTTAGTATTCTTCTGAAAGGTACGCGATGAAATATCCTTTATTTATTTATTCACTAGCGGCCCGTTCCGGCTTCGCGCGGGTTGACATTTTTACAACATTTTAAAAAGTGATTATTGTGACATAACGATAACAGTTGGACATATAGTATCGCGAAGTTTTTTGTAGTTATTGATATTTTCTTCAATATTGTAGAACATACTTTTGTTCTATCACCAATAGTTTCTGCAGCACACGCGACGAACGATATTTTATAGCATTTTTTACACTTTAAGTTACGTTACTAAGGTTTTAGTAAAGATCCCTAATCTTTTCTAGCAATAAATATATATGTCTATGTTACTCAGGGTGAATGTTTGATGGTGAAATGATGGTGAAAGATTTTTTGAAATCGGCAAAGTAGTTTTTGAGTTTATTCATTACAAACATACATACACACAAAAATACAAATCTTTCCTCTTCATAATATTAGTGTAGATGGAAGACCAACAGCATATTGCATTATAACACATATAACAAACATTAAATATAATACAATATTAATGCGCATGCCTTTTAAAGGTTTTTACAGCATTTGGTTTAACATAATTATACAGTATAAAATGAAGTAAACAATTTTATGAAATATTTGATGAAATAAGCCATTATCGAAAGATTTCAAATTATCTGCCAAACTTGAAACTTACGAATCGGATCGAACGTTGCAAATAAATTGAATGGACGAAGTTAGAAGTTACAATAATTTTTTAAATCCTTTTTGTAAACAAATCAATTACCAGAGGGAGACTTTGTACAAAAGTCGATTGCTTGGGTACCTCTGTCTCTTTGTGTTTCAACCATTCAAATTCCAAGCAGTTGTGTTTGTATGGCTGTGTTTCGGTTTGAAGGGTGGTATATGGCGTGAATTTACAGTGTACAGAGGAATAACACCCGAGTCCTCAGGAATGACACACATGGGGGGTATCATGGGCGAAACAGTGTATTCTGTTATGTTCATGGTACTGCCCATGTTTATAGGCGACGGTTACCACTTTCCATCAGGTGGGCTGTCAGCTTGTTTGCCATTCTAAGTTGTATAAAAAAAAAAACAATTTATTAATTCGAATTTTAATTTTTCTCCGATCATTTTATATGTATAATTCAAAGAAATCTTTTTAAATAGTTTCTGATAAGTTTGATTGTGGCTCTTGCACAATGTTTCTTATTTACCTGAGCGTGTCTGAGCAAGTGAAGTAGGCGGCTAGTATGGACATGAGCCGCCAGGCGCGCTGGCAGGAGTCCGGCGCTGGCGACCGGTTCGACGTCGTCTGCTTCATCAGCTGACAGTATACCTCGTCGCGGAGCTCCGGTACCGAGTGGCAATGCTAGGCAAATGGAAATTATTTGTCAGTTGAGGGATTTTTTTAATGGATGAGAATGGTCACCCTGCTTACCCTACCGTACCATACCCTTCCCTATCCGGGGGGAAGGGATTTTTAGTAATACGGGCTACCAGTCCCATTGCTGACAATGTGCTCTGTCGGGTAGACCTCCACGTGAAAACCTTCGTGCTGAATTCCAGGCGGATTCATCACGATGGGCTAACTGGCCAGCCTATTCATTTTCACCTATCATCCCCCACTGATGCCCCAGCATATACCATTGAATAATACCCTAATGAGAATAATACCTGAGTCCTCAGGAATGGCAACGCATGGGGGTTATCACGAGCGAAACTGTATACTCTGTTACGCTCATGTCTATAGGCGACGGTTACCACTTTCCATCAGGTGGTGCGTCAGTTTGTTTGCTATTCTAAGTTGCATAAAGAAAAGTAATGCCCTAGTATTGAAAACGTGGTTTGTATGCTTGTTTACCACTTCAGTGGTATAAAGGTATTAGTATCCATGATGATTTTAAATCGTTTCTAATGCAAGTAAAAACCTGTGCCGACTTCTAATATTCGAAAAGCTTGGAAGAATGAGAACTATGATAAGTATTTACCATAAGCACAGTATAAACACATTTAACTTCAGTCAAGTCTTGGTGCATCGGCCGCTCAGCGGGCTGGAGGTCGCCGCAGTACGCGCGTATACATGTGAAGCATTCCAGGGCCGGCGGCGCGAGCGCAGGCGGCAGCCGCAGCAATGGCGCACGCAGCGGCGTCGCCTGCCATTTCACGACATCGGTCTGAGCTTTCCATGTCCACTCGTTGCGTTTCGCTTTGCTCTTCAACGACGAGTCCGCTTTTAATATTTCTAGTCTGAAATGGGAGAAGAGATTTATGAACTTTTTGAATATTTTACCTTTTTGTGTATTTTTTTAATTCCAATTAAATTAGGTTGGGATGAACACGTTGGATAAAATCTTTTAATTGAATTATTGAAATGTTTTGAATAATTCTTATACTATTTAATACTTGTTTGTATTGATTTGTTTGTTTGTATTGTAAAAAACAAATTTTGTTTCATAAAAGCACTAGTTGAGTTTCTTGTCTATTTTTCTCAGCAGAAATTGAATGCCGAATAAGCGATAAAGTAAAAAAAAAAAAAAACACTATTCAAAAATGCTTATAAGTAAGTTTACTTAAGTAAAAATTATTTAAAAAAGAATGATTAGATCAAATTCGCTACTAGTTTTTTCGTTTGTTTATTAGGCAAAGATTGAAGCTATTTCTATGTATGAAGTAAAAACAACAATTTTTTCTGGATTACTACCGTTAGCTAGACAATATAGCCTCGTCTCTTCTGTGTATAATAAGTGAAATATCCTACCTAAATATACTATTTATTTTAAAAAAGTAGTCTGCCTGTAACTACTTTGGGTGGACCAAAGTCAACCAAACTAAACCATGGTTTAATTGAGTTTGGTCCAATTAAAGACTATTCACCTTTGTACTTAAAAATAGAGTAAAACAGTACACCTAGGTTTTTTTTTCATCAAAAGAAGAAATAAAAACTTATACTAAAAAGGTATAAAAATACCTATATGTTTTACACAGATTGCACTTCGGCTATGAGAAAAATAGTACAGTAGGCACTATTGATTAGTCAGAAGTTCTAACTGTAACATAGAAGTATAATATACTTGACATAAAACATATTTCGTGAATACTAAACAATTATTCACTATTCTATGCAAATATTATTGTGTGTTCGGCAAACAAGCGGAAATAGTTGCATTGGATGTAAATGCACCCGTGCGTTGCGGCCATTTGTATAACGATTCGCTAACACCGTCCGATGCGCGTGCGCAGCGTCGTGTCTAATTGTTCGTTGCTACGCTACGCCGGAACAGGATGTGTGATTGTGCAGTTGGTAGAGAAAATGTATAATTAATTAGCTTTTATGTGATATATTATTATAATCTATATACATCATGTCTGGCTGTCTGTCTGTTTGTTTGTTTGTTCCGGTATTACAAAATAATAATGTATTAATTTACAGGGTACAGGGGAATAACCCCTGAGTCCTCAGGAATGGCAACGCATGGGGGGGGGGGGTATAATGGATATAACAGTATACTCTGTAGTATCTGTTATGTACTCATATTTATAGGTGATGGTTACTATTTTCCACCAGGTGGGCCATCAGCTTGTTTAAGTTGTGTTCTTGAAAGTTTAACATAAAATTTAGTGTATATTTTATTTTGATATATTATCAAAAAGTAATCGTTGGTTTTTCTACCTCCAAAACACACGCGTACGAAGTCGCGGGTAAAAGCTAGTAAGCGAAAATTCCCATCTAAGCGTAAAACATAGTACATGTCAATAACCTCTCGATTAAAATTGAAAATTTTCACCAAATAAATCTATCAAATATGTATACACAGAATGATTATATCTTTACGTCGGCAAACGAATTAAAGGCGTACCCAATTTAGGGATTATGGCCTTTCTACTGCGTGAGGTATGCGTGAGATATATTTATTTTATTCATAGATAGCACATCAATTTGATATTTAAATTACTATATGTGCATTTTTTAACATCATTACGAGGAAAATAATAATAAAGTTGCATAATGAATACACGCGCACGCTTATGGATGTTTGTGGATTCTTTTTTGTATTATTTTACCGAGACACTATTATTAGAAACAAGGATGGTTTATAAAAAAAAAATTACATTGTATTAAATAAATTACTTTTAATTTGCGAAAGTTGTTTGAAAGTTTAAGATCGCCATATTTATATCAATCGCGCTGTCGATGAGTAATATTAAAATGCGTCTAGATATATAGACAAAGACTAGACATTACTTTAAGTATTTGGACATAGTATAATCAAATCCAAAAAAGCTTTTTGTACTTCATAAGCGTAATATATATTTTTGTATTATTCTTTAAATGGCGATGATAAATAAATAAAAAAAATGTATTTTTCTGATTTTTTGTCGTGGTACTATGTTACTACTATGTTAGTTATAGCAGCATAATCATTAAATGACTCAAATTTGAAAGCTTTTTAATGATCATTAATCGAAATACTCGTATCACCCAATCGTTACCATATTAAATAGGTTTCTCATAATATTATAAATATTTATTAATCGTTAATAGATCTATTTGTAAACGTACTAGCTTTTACCTGCGACTTTGTCTGCGTGATCTCAATATATCAATTGACGTAGATTTTTTTTTTAATCGATGATAATGGAATGGTAACCCCACCCGCGCTATCGGTATACACCGGCGGGGCACCAGTGAGGGATGATAGGTGATGGTGAAGCAAGTCAGTTAGCCCATTGTGACGAATTCAACAAGAATTGTTCACGATGGTTTCCAGGGGGAACCACGTGGAGGTCGACCTAATAAGGCATATTGCTAGCAATGGGGCTGTCAAACTCCATTACTGACAATCCCTTTCCCCCCAATTGACGTAGAATAAAAGTAATCTATGTCCTTCTTCATCCCATGTAGTATGTGTATACTAAATTTAATAGTGATTTGTTAAGCCGTTAAGGCGTTAGGAAGTAACAAATAAACTCACTTTCAAATTAATAATATTAGTAAGGATTAACTTGGTATAGTACAGAGAATAATAATAGAGTTGTAATAATGTATAACGGGAAATGTTTTTGATTCTTGGTTGACAAATATTTAAGCTTTTGTGCATCTGAAAATGGAAAAAAGCTAAAGGCTCACCGGATGGAAAGTGGTAACTGTCGCCTATTGACATGGACTTAACAGAGTATACTGTATTTTTTTTTTAATTCGAAAAACAAAAAGTACTAAAGGTCTAACTGTTTACTGCGATGATGATAAGTAGATAGATAAATACTCTTTATTGTTTCCTCCAAAAAAGGAAGGTAATGCGTGAATACAAACTTTGGATAGTACTGCCATTTACATAATAAACTATTTGTTTGACAACAATCGAGCCATCAGGATATCTTACGGAAACATTTAACATTTAAAGGTCATGTAACATAAACAAATCACAATAACACACTATTGTCTTGCAAATACGAGTAGATAGAAAAAAAAAATAACACCACAATAAGCGGACACAAAAGGCGATATCTCACAGGATAATCTTATCGTCGTCACAAGTCGCATCGCCGAAATCGTCCGACAAACTGTCGCACGACATGTCGGTGGCGGGATCATTCCGACCGATCGATATGACCGACATCGTTCAACTGCGCTCTGAACAGCGCCGACAGCGAAAGTATTGGCCATTGGCTATAATTTAGCATTTCATTCCGGCTTTCTTTACGTTTGTACAAAAATTAACCGTAACCTGTACGTGTGCGTGTTAACGTAGCCGTGTAATCACCGGCTATCAAATTAGACGGTTGCGTCATTGCGTTTGAGCTGGTTACGCCCTCCTTGATTTCCTAAATAGCTATTGAAAAAAAAATTGACTACGTGCAATGGCAAAGGTAACCAACTATCTGAAGGCTACTAAAGTAGGTACATGGGGGGGGATTGCTAATAATGGAGATTAAGGGCCCCATTACTAGCAATATACCCAACCAGGTCGAATTCCACGTGGGAACCATCGTGCTGAATTCCAAATGTATTCGTCACGATGAGCTAACTGACTTGTCTTTTTGTCCTCACCTATCATCCCTTACTTGTGCCCCGCCAGTGTATACCGTTAGCGCAGGCGGAGTTACCATTCCATTATCATTCATTAAAAAAAAAAGTAGGTGCAGAGAAAATCTACGATTGAAGCACATGAGTATGATCAAGTTAACCTTCACGGTTTGCCCTGGAAACAATCCTGGTGAATTCTAATAGAATTTATTAAAATGAGCTATCTGAAATGCTGTCATCCTCATTTATTATATCGCATTGGCATGCTGCCAGCTAATACCGTAAGTGCAGGCGTGGTTGCCATTCCATGCCAGTAAGTATTTACTCATAATTTTTAATGGGTAAAAATGAATCGGCAATAGGTATGTAATTGAGGCTCTGTTCTCACCGTTCTGTTCTCATGTTTCTCACCGCACAGTCTGCACAGTGTGTTACGGACATACTCGTACTGTGTAAACTGTGCGGTGAAAAATCGGAATCCATGGAACACTTGATGTGCAACTGCGATTCGTTGGCAAGCATGCGTATGAATCTACTGGGAACACCTTATCTAGAGCCAAGGGACTACATATATCTTAAACCGTGGGATATCGTTAAGGTAACACGTAGGATCTATGAAATGATGATATAAGGCAGGGGAAGCACAAAAGATCCCTATGGGTAGACGTGCAACGGCTTAACTGACCCCATATGCGAAAATAAGATAGGCTCTGTTGAGAAGATTCCCAATAAAGCTTAAGTTACATATCTAAAAATACTTATGGTGTACGATCAATTGTCCATTACTTAAGTTCACATTACACTATAAAGTTTAATTTCTTCAGTATAATAAAGGGACTAGAAAAAACAAAGCACAACATGCCAATACAAAAGGTGAATCCTAAAAAATATAGGTAAGCAAATTGCTTGGCGATTATGGTAGTCGATCTAAAAACAGTGTCTGTTGGTCGTCGTTAACTATCAAAGCCCTGTTTATACCTTTTACTGTCTTCTCAATATTCGCTTTACTATTTCTTTCTGTTTTTACTATTTTTTTTAAAGAATTATAATGAAATGTTAACCCCGCCTGCGCTAACGGTATATGCTGGCGGAGCTCCAGTGAGGGATAATAGATGCGAATGAAATACGGGCCAGTTAGCCCATCGTGATGAATACTTCTAAAATTCGATACGACGGTTTCCAGAGGGACTAACGAGGAGGTGGACCTGATAGGGTATATTGC